AATGAGCCACGATATTGATTATGTACATCTTTTGTCCTTTTTTGATTGAATCACAAATCCCCCTCTCGTTAGACACCATCCACTTTCAAGTTCCGAAATATAATTTCCACTACCCCCTTCTGCCCAAAGCTGGTGTCTGCACCTTTATTCATCAGTCACTGTCTCCAAGATATATATATCTATAGATACAAACACCAATCTTTATAAATACGGCATCAAAATAATCATGGGTGAATGAAAAGTATGGGAACAGACGCAGGGAAAAGAAAACAATCAACTTAGGGAATATTTTTTTTGTTTGTTCACTGCGTACCATTTTGAGTTTTTTCTTTTTTTGTTTATTTTTGGGATTGCAAACAGGATAGAATACATTCACGCTACTGACTTTTGTTCGATGTCAAATCCCGCAGTGTCTCTAGCCAAAGACAGTCTGAATCTTTGGGCCCCAGTCGAGGGTCCCGAATACTGACTCCCCATCACGAGTTTCAGCTGATGTGGCTGAACCTCCGATTTCGTTCTTTTAGCCATTACTTCTGTGTTCTATATCGTTCCTCAATAGTGGCAACCCCTGCATCTTTTGTTTCATCTTTGAACATTGGGAAATTGTTTTTAGCCGACCCCAACTGCCATGTTATCATCTTGGCAGATTTCAGCGTTCCTAATCGGGAATGATTAACACATTCATCTGGCCCTTCTTCGGAGCGCGAAGCTGACTTTTTCGCTTTGGTCAATAATCTGAATCAACTACTCTTAAATCATGGAATCATTGTGTTTTTTCTTGCTGTTTACCAGCCCCGACTCCTCCCAGCTCAAGACACACTCGAACACCACAACTTAGCCAACTGGGACGGTTTTCGCGATATCCTAGCTTCTCATCCGTTTCCAGATCTGTTTCCAACTTCACGAACGTTGTTACTCAAGGTACGCATCTTTTAATTCCACACTTCGAAACCCGGCAACCCCAAATCGCATGTTACCGTGTTGTGCGCCCACAACATGGCCTTCCGCCTCTAGCTCACTCCTAACTCCCACTGTTGCTTCGTGCAAGCTAGGAACAGATACTTGACAATCATTCAGAGAACCAAAGAAAGCTTCGTTTGCTGTAAAGCCGAATACTTGGTCTCGTCTGCCGCCGGAACATATTGATCACTTCCCAAAGCAATTTCCCGTAATTTCTATCCGTCCAACTTCCCCCTATCTGTGATTCCTCTCGTGATCTTGTGTCAATTACAAGAGAAAGCTGAGGTTTTGCTTCTCGGTTTACCACCAACTCCACCTTCCTTCACTGGCAACCCATTTCTGCTTCATATTGTCACTAGGAATATCCGTCGAATATTGCGCTTTTTAAATTCAAACAAACCACCCGGCCCGGACGGATTCCACCCATTGTCCTCAAAATGTGTGCTCCTGAGCTGGTTACTATTTTACGTCGCCTTTTCAGTCTTCCTTCAAATTACTTCTTTCCGAATCCCTTGGAGACACGCTGTGATTTTTCTCATTCCCGAACGCGGCGACCTTCCTGACCTCGACATTTCCTGACACATTTCTCTCACATTTTCTCTTTCGAAAGTATTTGAGACCATCATCTCCGACCAACTATGCACGTTCCTCGAACGCGAAGGACTTCTGATAGACTGCCATTATGGCTTCCGACAGCACTGTTTCACCCGTGGCTTACTGGCTCCTCTCTCATAATCTTGTTCAACTACATTCGACAACCATGAGGAAGCACACTTGTTCCCGCTTGATAACTCCTAGGCCTTCGACCGAGTTTGAAACAAAGGTCTACCGGCGAAACTGCCCATATTCGGGTTCCCCCGACTCCCGTATCATGGGTGTCAAGTTTCCCTAGACTGCCTATAACTTCATGCTGGCCCTCTTTTAGGGCTCAGGTTGCTTCTCGTGGTTTTTGATTCCCCGCCAGAAGCTTCACCTCAACTCATCTACTATATAAAGCTCAAATCTACCTTGTTCTTGAATACTGCAGTCACGTGTGGGATCTGGATTTGTCTTCTCTTTCCTTACTTGATAGTGTTTGACGAAAGGCGATCCGGGTGATCGATTATCTTTCCCTAACCTCCAATCTACAGTCACTAGCCCATCTTCGGGCAGTTCGTTCGCTACCCCTGCCCTACTGTTACTTTGTTTTTTGTTCTTCGGAGCTTGCCTCGGCAGTGCCTCCTGTAACTTTTTCCCGCCCATCTGTACACAGGAACTCATCCTTATCAGATTTCGGTTACTAGACATCGTGCCTCTCTACTCTAATCTTCTTTTCTCTCCCGAGCTGCCCAGTTGTGGAACACTTATTTTCCTTCTACTCTCTTCTGCAATATGATCTTTTCTTTTACTGTAACTCACTGCGTAATAAAAAAACAATATCACGTGAAATGATGGCTTGAAAAGTCAGAGAATATCACCGTAGTACCAATCAAACGAAACCACTCAATGAGACGTTTTGGCTATCATATCACCATTCGAGCTAATATACTAAAGCAGCATTGGCTGTTATCGTAGCTCCTGGCAGGTAGCCTAGTTTTTAATAGTTCACAGGGTTTGACAAGTGAATTGCAAATCGTTTATCGGCCATGAGGAACCTTTCAGTGCTGTTTTCCGGTCGTGGTAGCACCACCTTGATTAGTGTCAAGGAGGATAAAATTTTAGTATCATGCTGATGGAATGATTGAACACCAGATTAAATTAGGCTGCACTGTTTTTTGAGTCCATTTTTTCTCTAACGGCGTCCCCTTGTTTCCGCTCAAGCGATTTCTAATTATCGTAAGTTCTTCCAAGGCCGAGAACAACCGCAGGAACCACTGAGTAAATCATTCTTCTCCTGTGGATATCCCCTGTTGCCAATTGGGAAGTTCTGTGGACCCCAAAGGCTTTCGTGAGATCATTTGGTGCTTAATATGGCTGACACTGCGAATTCACAACAGTGAAAGGGACTTGTCGGACGCATAAAGCTAATGAACCAGTTGTGCTGGCAAGCCTTCATCGACGGGCTCGTTTCGGTCAGTTTGGACCTTGGCGATTTCAACGTTTCTCTCGTCCATAGTAGTTTTATGTATACGGCCACCAGCACATTTATTTTTTATACATTTTGATCTATTAAGAAATGGAAAATAAATTCCAGTAGGCGGAACAAGCAGTTTTTCGATAAATTCGTCAACTGACCATTGGCATTACAGAAGGTTTATTTGTGTTGTTTATTCTGGTTTTTGATCGCCTCAAACTGGTATGTATACAAATATGCTGTAATTACTTACACTCCTNTACTTTTACCGCAGTGAGATCGAAACGCCAGTACTTGTGACTATCGTGGGGTTATTGAGCCATCGACTGCTAGATCACCTGGGTTATGTGAACGACTGGTGCCGAATCTTCTAAAAAAGGCGAATAAATTGGCCTCGGCAAATCTTGGTGATCTGCGCTGGCTTAATTAGGCAAGTGCGTTGGAACATCGCCGTTGTGAGGCACACTCGAAGACGGCATAATAGGATAGATTGGATGCCAGTATCCAATGACCTGCTTTTTTCACTCAGCTCCGTTTTGTTTCGAGTCGGGCTCTAGTTAGCAAGTCAAGTCAAGTAAAGCTTTATGCACCCGATAGGATGAATTTTCAGCATCTTTGACAAGTTACAGTGAGAAAAAC